AGAAGGAAACTATTAAAGACGTCTATTTCAATCTAAATAAGATAGATTATACGATCGTTGCATTAAGCTTTCGGTTTAATTCTATACAAGCTGATTAAAATGATAGATTATTCATTTTTTTTATTACGATTGTCAGATCTTTACATTTTTTCTTTGTTAAATTTTTTACTTTAAAAGTTCGAAAAAATTTCTGCTACAAATCAAGATTGAAAATAGCGAGAGAAAATCGATGCATAAGTTAGTGACAACAATAATTAGTAGATGAAGCAGTTCGTTACATGAGGGAAACGTCGTCAATAGGATTTTCGTCAACAAGGATATTCACCAATCGATGAATGTTCTGTGTACTTTAACCATCGTTTCCTATGTACTTACGTCAACACGTATTTTGCAATTTAGCCAACGTAAGAAGATATAAAACATCGATGAAAAATTTTCTATTGGCTATGATTTATTTGTTTTCAGTCTAATTTTCTTCGACAAGGAATGACAAAAAAAACTAGATGGTATTCATTCGTCTTATTGTGAAGCTACATTCGTCTTATTGTGAAGCTAAGGATAAGACGTATTTCGTTCGTTCCTGTTCTCGTTCCACATATACAGTTACATCGATTTTTCTTTACATAAAATCACGCACTCAGTGCGTGACGCGTTAAAATAAAATAAAATAAACAAAACAATAAATAAATAAATATCCATCTATTTATTTATTTTAATTTTATTTTTCTCATTAATTTGAATATTAAGTCGACGAAAATCACTTCTTATCCAAATTACATTATGAACAATCGTACATATCCTCGAAATGATCAGTCAAATACTAATACGAAGAAAAACCGTTATAATGATGAACCACCATCAAGCGACAACGACAAAGCTAATTCAAACGTTTATCACGATCAGTTTTCTAATGTGGTTTTTCATGGAAGAATGCCACGAAGTAAAACGATTCCTCCACCAATACCCAGTAATATGCAACTGATTAATTCTCCAGCACCATCGCCCCGTCGTCTTCGTTCATCTGATGGTTCTGATGATGAGTACGTCGAGGTCAACAAGAACAAGAAGAAAAAACGTATACAAAAACAAACTGGACAACTTCATCCTGATCAAACTTACCCGATTCTTGATTTCAACCTGAACAACAACTGCAACACCACAACAGCTCCTCATTCATCAGTTCCAACACACAAAGTAACATCCCCTGCTCAACCTGTTC